CTTGAATTTTAAAATTTTCCTGCAATAAGAAAATGGCAATTTTACACAGGAGAATTAAAACATTATAAATATGCATGGAACCTAATTACACTTTTCTAAAATAGTCTTTAGAGACAGAATTATTTTCATGGCAGCCATTTTAATCATCAAAAGTATGCAAAAGCAGCTAATTGCCTGAATACATACAAGTTACTTTTCTGAGACAGGGTCTCATGTTTTCTAGGGTGGCCTCTATCTGGATTATAGCTGAGGATGGCCCTGAACTCCGGATCCTCTTGCCTCCATCTCCAGAGAGCTAAGATTACAAGTATGCTGCACCTCACTCAGTTTAGATGATGTTGGGGGATAGAACCCAGGGCTTCCTGTGTGCTAGGCAAGCACTCTGACAATTGGGCTGCCTCCCCAGATCCTATCCTTTTTAGCAGCGGTTTTCAGAAGAGCCAGAAAATTGTGTCTTTTCCTCTGAGTTTGCCAGTCTTGATACTATTGCTCGTTAAGTGGAGGGGTGGGGTTGCCAAATCCACAGAAAGAAAACTATACAAGGAAGAGTATTTCTACCAAGAGAACTGAATGATTGGAGAGCAGGGAGCTTTCCTGATGGCCATAACCCTAAAGAGAGAAACAAGAATGAAAGAGTTCTTAGACTGGACCAGCAGGGAAGACTTGGAGGTGGCATTGTTTTATTTCCCCCAAACTGACCCTAAAAGTTAGGCACCGAGATATAACACCACCACCACTAATACCATACACCATATATATGCGTGTGAGTGTATATGTATATGTATACATATATGTATGTATATATGTACACACATATATTTGATATAAATATTAATTATGGGCTGGAGAGATGGCTCAGTGGTTAAGAGCACTGACTGCTCTTGCAGAGGACCTGGGTTCGATTCCCAGCACGCACATGGCGGCTACGAACCATCCTTTCCTCCAGTTCCAGGGGAATCCAAAGCCCTCTTCTGACCTTTGTGGCATTGCACGACATGGGTGCACTCACATACGTGCAGGCAATACACTCATACACATAAAATGAAAATAATAAATAAAAATATTTTTAAAAAATATTAACTACGCCCTTATCTCCTAGAAGCAGCTCTTTTGCCTATCTCCCTGTTGGGGAGCCAACAATAAGTTGATTGCAGATATTTGAATGTCAGATTTTGGAAAGGAAAAGATGTATTATGCATGTGAATTATTTAATGTTTTAGAACACCCATGGGCTGCAGCATTCCTATTCTCAAGCAACTGAGTGGGAGTTCCAACACTGTTTCTCACTGGTGATTTGGATAACATGAAGGGCTAGAAAGTAACAGATAAATTTTCATCTTTGTCTGTGAGATTCCTACCAACGTGCAGTTTCATAATGTGATCTTTTTCTTGCAGGGCATCCAGTATTTACATTCTCTCCAAGACCTGAACTTATAACAACATTCCTTCATTAGTGGAGGTGTCCCGCCTACAGCCCTTACCCTTCCTCAAAGAACTAGACTTAAGACTCAATCCTATTGTAAGGAAAGACACAGATTATAGGCTCTTTGCTGTGTACATGCTGCAAACTCTGGAGAAACTGGGTGAGACCCTCCTCCTCCTCTGTTCCTCCCTGGAATCTTACTTGAAGTCAACTGCTCCTTAACCTTTTGGATGTTGGCCCAGAGTGTGTACTGGCAATAGACAGTTGTTTATCAGTCTATATTTATGCAACTCTTTGTGTTGGCAGGATGTGTGACGAGTACTTTTATTGTTTGTTGAATGAACATCTATGATTTTATCAGTAACTTCCAGCTTTAGTCACCACTAAATGATGGTTTCACCACTGCTTCCTCCTCAGCACAATATTTCCAAGTTGAGACTTATTTTTCCAGGTGTCGAGCTTTACCAACTACATTAGTAATAGAAATCTGATACAAGAATTCTTTAGAAATTAGTTGACAAGGAACAAAAAAATAATGCTTAGAATGAGCTGGTCTGTGATTCCTTATAATTTCATTGTTGAGTATATATTTCTTATTGATATAAAATTTAATTTCACATGGCCCTGGAAAAGTTATCATAGGGAAACTAAATGAATTCTTTCAGAAAAATGATATGGCATTCAGCCTTAACATGAGATTGTTTGCTGTCCAAGCTTGACTTTCCTGAAGGGGTGGTTGACCTAGGTGGCAGTTGTTGCTATGAGATCACATAGTATCTCTGAGTTACTGCTTGCTCCAGTGACAGCATAATAGAATTGTGTTGTGACCTGTCTCTAATACACAAAGATGGGACTGGTCTTGAGTTTTTCCTCTGTAAGTATGGTTTTCTGACCTATTGCCACTGACTCCAAAAAGAAACATGCTCAGACCTCGGTTTTTGCCTCCAGATGATCGAACTGTCCGTGACAGTGAGAGGAAAGCTGCCAAGCTGCATTTCAGTCAGCTCGGCAACAGTGAAAAGTTTCTTTTAGAGGTGGAAAAAAGGTAAGAAAATTATGATTTTTTTTTTTTTTACATTTTGTGCTGGTTGAAATGAAATTCTAGTTAAATTTCCTCATTTTCCAGCAGAATTCTCAGAACTGGAATAAAATGATTTGTTCTACAAAAAGGTCCCTAGGGTTAAGAATTCAGCCCCCAGCAGGGCATGGTGGCTCACGCCTTTAATCCCAGCACTCTGTGAGTTCAAGCCCAGCCTGGTCTACATAGTGAGTTCCAGTACAGCTGGGGCTACAGGGAGACCCTGTCTCAAAAAAACCAAAAAAAAAAAAAAAAAAGAATTCAGGCCTCTCCTTTCTTGAACTACTGGGTTTGCTTTGGCTATAACTTGTACATTTTTCCAGTGTTGTTATAGCTTATAGATAGGGGCACTATAAGTTTCTTTTTTGTTTGTTGGTCGGTTAGGGTTGGATTTTTTTTGTCTTTAAAAAAATATTTACTTTTACTTTATGTGTATGAGTGTTTTGCTTGCATTTATGTAAGAGCATCCACAGAGGTCAGAAGAGGGTGTCAGATCCCCTGGAACTGGAGTTACAGATTGTTGTTAGCCACCATGTGGGTGCTAGGAATCAAACCCAGGTTCTTTGGAATTCTGGAATAGCAGCCAGTGCTCTTAACCACTGAGCCATCTCTCCAGCCTCCCCTCATCCCCCCTCCCTTTTTTTTTTTTCATCTTTTTGTGACAGGGTCTCCTTGTAGCCCCAGCCCGCCTGGAACTTGCTATGTAGACCAGGCTGGCCTCCATCTCTCAGAGATTTGCCTGCCTCTGCCTCCTGAGTGTTGGGATTAAAGGCATATGCCACCACACCCAGCACTAGAAGATTTCTTATTCCATAAAGTCAACCCTTTATGTATAGAACTGTCATTCAGTACATAGTTTTGTCTTATCAATAGGGATTTCCTTACTAGAGGTAAAACTGTTAGAAATTTGCCAGAGCAACAAAACATAAACTTTAACAAAGTAAAACAAAAACCATGCAAAACAAAAAGTAAAAAGATCTTGAGGCTCTCAACTATCTGATTGGTAGATTTTTCCATTTATTGTTATAAAATCTTATCAAAGGAAGATATCATATCTTCTACACTAAAGCTACACTACACTTTTATTTACTTATTTTTTTTATTATCTTTTTTTTTGGTCTTTTTGAGAGAGGGTCTCCCTGTAGCCCCAGTTGGCCTGGAACTCACTATGGAGATCAGGCTGGCCTCAATCTGACAGACATCTGCCTGCCTCTGACTCTTGAGTAATGGGACTAAAGGCATGTGCCATACACCAGACTTAAAACCATGCTTTTAAAAATTAGCCTATGAGGTCAAGCATGGTGGCACACGCCTTTAATCCCAGCACTCAGGAGGCAGAGGCAGGTGGATCTCTGTGAGTTCAAGGCCAGCCTAGTCTGCACAATGAGTTCCAGGCTAGTTGGCACTACAGGGAGCTCCGTCTCAAAAAGTCCCCCCCCAAAAAATAATTAACCTTATGGGGTTAGAGAGATGGCTCAGATGTTAAGAGCACTGCCTGTTCTTGCAGAGGGCCTGAGTTCAATTCCCAACACCCATATGGCAGCTAACAACCATCTAGAACTCCAGTTCCAGGGAATCCAACGCCCTCTTCTGAGAACCCTGCCGGCATGACATGGATGAACTTGCACACATGCAGGCAATATACTCATACACATAAAATAAAAATAATAAAATATACTAAGTTTTAAAAAATAGGCTAATGAGATAGCTTAGTGGGTAAAGGAGCTTGCCAGCAAGCCTCACAACCCGAGTTCAATTTCTGGGACTCATATGGTGAAAGGAGAGACCGCAGTCCTGTAAGATGTTCTGTGACCTCTGCACACACACTGTGGCACTTATATGCACACGCATCATACTCATAAATAAATAAATGTTGGGCTGGAGAGATGGCTCAGCAGTTAAGGGCACTGGCTGCTCTTCTAGAGGACTCTGGTTTTGTTTCCAGCACCCACATGGCAGCTGACAACTGTCCATAACTCCAGTTCCAAGGGATCTGACACCCTCTTCTGACCTCCAATATGTTTTTATTTATTTATTTTTATAAATATTTATTATTTTTATTTTATGTGTATGAGTGTATTGCCTGCATGTATGTAGGTGCACCCGTGTCACGCAATGCCGTGGAGGTCAGAAGAAGGCTTCAGATTCCCCTGGAACTGGAGTTAAGGACAGTTTGTAGCCACCATGTGGGTGCTAGGAATCAAACCCGGGTCCTCTGCAAGAGCAGTCAGTGCTCTTAACCGCTGAGCCATCTCTCCAGACCCTATTTATTTATTTTTTTATTTTATGCGTACAAGTGTATTGCTTGCATGTATGTGAGTGCACCCGTGTAGGGCAATCCCAAGGAGGTCAGAAGAAATACTCATAAATAAATAAATGTTGGGCTGGAGAGATGGCTCAGCAGTTAAGGGCACTGGCTGCTCTTCTAGAGGACTCTGGTTTTGTTTTCGGATTCCCCTGGAACTGGCGTTAAGGACGGTTCATAGCCGCCATGTCGGTGCTGGGAATCAAACCTGGGTCCTCTGCAAGAGCAGTCAGTGCTCTTAACTGCTGAGCCATCTCTCGAGACCCAAATATTTTTAAATGAAAGGAAATAAATGTAAGAAAAAATTTTAATTTGCCTTATTAGTTTTGAAAATTGGATTAAAACTCTTTATAATGTAAATAATACAGAAAAGTGCACTTTTTTTGTCTTTTTGAGACAGGGTCTCCCTGTAGCTCCAGCTGTCCTGGAACTCACTATGTAGACCAGGCTGGGCTTGAACTCGTAGAGATCCGCCTGCCTCTGCCTGGGATTAAAGGCGAGGGCCACAACGCCCCAGCAGAAAAGTGCCCTTTTAAAAAGATCAAAATCAGCTGGGTATGATGGTACATGCCTGTAATCCCAGCCCTTGGGAGGCAAAGGCAAGCCAATCTCTGTGAAATCTAGGCCAGCCTGGTCTACATAGTGAGTTCCAGGCCAGCTGGGGCTATGGAGAGACCCTGTCTCAAAAAAAAAAAAAAATCACTCTATGTCTTGCTACTGAGAGTTAGCTATAATACTTGGTGTACAGCCTTCCGGACATCTATGTATTATGAGTACATGTAGGTATATTTATTAGTCTATTCAATTAATCTGTTATCCATCACCCAGAGATAAATGCTATTTATATACTTATAAATAGCTTCTTAGGGCTGAGGAGATAGCTCCATAAGTAAAAGTACTTGTTGTACAAACATGAAGATGTTAGTTCAGATCCCCAGCATCTGCATAATAATTAAAAAGCTGGGAGCATTAACACACATCTGTAATTCCAGGGCTGGGGAAGCAGAGATAAGAGGATTCTGGGGCTCACTGGCCAGCCAGCCCAGCCAAATAGATGCACTCAGGTTCAGTGAGAGACCGTGTTTCAAAAAGTAAGATGGAGAGAAATTGAGGAAGACACTGGGCATCAACCTCTGGCCTCCACATGCACGCACATGTGCACACACCCACATGAACACATGCATACACCACACACAACAACACACAAAAATATCCTCCTATGCTTAGATATATGTGAATGATATGTGTATATGCATGCTTTGTGTGTGTAAATATGTGTATAAATGCATATGATATTTTGATATTTATGTTATTGTAGTTTACTTCTCATGTATACTGTTTAAGAAGATAATCATGAATATATCTCCACATTATTTGTCTATTCTTTTTCATAATAAGTCTTCTGTTTATCTGTTTACCTTTTCTTTTCTTTTGTGGTATTGGGGATTGAACGCAGGTCCTTCAAAATGCTAGGCAAGTCCTATACCACTGAGCTATCCCCACATCCCTCACTAGCACCTAAGTTCTATGAGAACAAGAACTTTGCTGATCTTGTTTATTGTAGTAACTGTAGTGCTTATGACACCCTCTGGCATATAGAAGACACCAAGAAATCGTTTGTTAATGAGTAATGGAGCTGGCAAGATAATTCAGCAAGTGCTACAGCACAAGCCTGGTGACCTGAGTTTGATCTCTGGAACCCACATAAAGGTGAAAGGAGAAAACTAACTCTACAAAGTAAGTTGCCTTTTGACTTACACATACACACACACACACACACACACACACACACTGTGGCATGCCCTCCTACACATATACATACTACTACTACTAGTACTACTACTACTACTACTACTACTACTACTACTACTACTACTACTAAATAAATAAGCCAATGCCTGTTGGTATGGCATCTTCTTTGGCAGTGATGAGCTATTTTTCGCTCTGATCTCTAGGTTTTGTAGTATAACCTTCAAAGAGCATCCTTGGTTTTCT